CCCAGGCAGGCAGGGGTGGGGAGAGGCAGGGAGGAAACAACTTACCCTCCCTCTTCTCCTGCCTCCTCCTGGCTGAATGAGGGCCGGAAACGGGGCGGCCAGAAGCAGGGGGCGGGGCTTCGTCATGTGCCCCGCCCCCGCCCCGCACCCGGGGGAACTGCGATCCCCCGCGATCCCCCCGAATCTACCTCTGGGTGTTTCGGTGTCTGGTTTAATGTCCAAGGAAAAGAGGGATAGAACAGAAATCAGGGGGATCAGGTCATTCAGCAGATATGTGCCTGATATGAACATGTCTCAACCAGAACAGTTAAAGCTATTTTTCCTCCACACAGGATCATTCCAGTTGTTGTTTCTGTGCACAGCATTTCCATTTTCTGCCATTTTCTGCCAATTTTCTGCCATTTTCTTGTAGGGCTTTCTAATTACATATAAACATTAGTTTGTTTACAAGGGCATTATCTGGGGGCAGTTCTTCCTACTGGACCAAGATGAAGGTTTTACTTGAACATGCTGAGAAGCAGGGGCGGGAGAAATAGAGGTAGAGACTTGGCCTCAGGTGGGATTTGCTTTTTCCAACAATGGAAGTCTGCCTGCAGCAGGGGAAAGCAGCAAAAGTTTTTCTTGCACATACTGGCAGACAGGCAGGGCCACAGAGACAGGAGGGAATAGAGACAAAAGTGCAGGCTTCACCCACACCCAATGATAGGCATCCCACCTGCCTTGAAGACTGGAGGTAGATAGAAAGGTCTGAGTTTTATTCTGAATGATAGTTGAGAATAAATGCAAGAACCAGGACTATTTTTGGGCAGGAACGCACAGGAACGGAGTTCCGGCTGGCTCCCAAGTTGGCCACGCCCAGCAGGAACTCATTAGCATAACAGGCCACACCCAACATCAGAAACTCATTAGGATTGGCTACAGTAGGCGTGTGTGGCCTAACATGCAAAGGAGTTCCTGCAACAAAAAAGGCCCTGGGTTTTGACCACAAACAAGGTAAACAGAATAAGAAGCAAAAGGTGGGTGTGGCTGGATGAGCATACTTCTGGTAACATGGGGGTGCGGCCTAATGTGCTAATAAGCTGTGCTGTCAGGGGTGTGGCCTAATATGCTAATGAGTTTCTGCTGTTGGGTGTGGCCTATTATGCTAATGAGTTCCTTCTGGGCTTTTTCTACAAAAAGAGCCCTGGCAAGAACGTATACATACATTTAATGCAAAGAGAGAGATGTGCAATGAGGGATCAGTAATGATTAAGAACTAGAGCTCAGTATCCAAAGGAATGATGTGTAGGAAAAAATAAAATGTTTTTTTCTGCTGTAATCCCAAGGGGAAAACAGCTGCACAGTAAGCCTTCAAAACAAGTGTGTCCAAGGCCAGCAGTGGAGCCATAGGAAGGAAATACCTACCGCCAGCACCCTTGCTGAGACTCTGCCAACCACCTCCCTGACCCGTCCATGCCCAGCCTCCAGGAAAGACAATTTACATGGGTGGCAGGTGGTGGCGGGATCAGGGGTGAGGTCACAAGGGCCAGCGGCAGTGGCAGTTGCATTACCAGTGCCCCAAACAGGGCAGTGGACAGTGGTGGAGAGAAACAGGAGTCCAGAGGAGCCCAGGGAGGCAGAGGCAGTGTGGCTGATACTTGCAGCAGAGCTGGAGTCACGGGGGCCAGCCACAGAGTTCACACAGTGGGGGCAGGCAGCTGTAGAGCCAGTAGAGGAGGAGCTGGCCAATGCCAGAACTTTCTGGGCCAGGACATTAGAGGGAAAGCCAGGCTGGAAGCAGGTAGGCCCAGAGCGTACTGCAAGACTGGCCATGGCTCTGGAGGCAGTGCAACCCCACCCCTCCCCAGCCAGGATGCAACTAGGACTGGGAGAGGCATGGCCCTGGCTGGGGTAAGGGGGGTGGGGCCCTCACACACAGGGAAGCCAGCCCAGGCCAATAGAAATGGTCTGAAGACAATGGGCAGGAGCAGGCTCCAGTGGGAGAGGGCGGAATGGCCCCCCCAAGAGGAGGCTGGGAGGATAAAAGGAGGGTCTGGTAGAGAGGCTGGGGAGTGTGCTAAAGTTGTGGCAGAAGGTGCTCCAGCTGGGAGGAGGAGCACCGGGGTGAGATAACCCCTTCCCGTCCCATTCTGAGTCTTCTGGGAAGTGTCCCAACACTAGTTGCACAATGGCTGAAGGTGGTATCCCCCCTGGGATGATATGTTAGTGCAAGACTCTGAGTGCAAGATTCTGAATTTCCAAGAGCAATGTTGAATTTTATTGCAAGATAATGCAGCAGTGTCTCATTTAAAAGACTCATTACCAAGCCCAATTGATTGAAGGATGGCAACTGTTAATGGGTTTTCACCATCTTGTCATAATGGAATGAAAATGGATATCCTATGCTGAGGCTGTAAAACTGTTTCCATGCTTTTAAATCAATCAATATACTGCTTTTTCATTCTCACTATATTAAGACATGGGAATCTTAGCAAGGAGTAGAGCCATGGAATCATGAATTAAAAGTGGCGTACGCAAAAGCGGAAAAATAAGAATTAATAAGTGATTTTTATTGACAGTGTTGCAAATATTTAGAATAAGGATATTATCTGCTTCTTCATACCAACAAGTGTGTTCTGCTCTGTGTCATGTAACCCATTTATTTTAAAGGTGTTAACTTCTGTTTTGGTGAGCATTAAAGGACTTCCATTCAGCCAATATTTCTCTCAGCTATAGTAGCCAGTATTTCTCATGCCAACATCCATGTGGGGCCTGGAGATCTTCTGGAATTACAACTGATGTACAGAGATCAGTTCCTCTGGAGAAAATGGCTCCTTTGGAGAGTGAACTGTGTGGCATTATACCTGGCTGATCTCCCTCCCGTCCCCAAATGCACATAAAATAGTCATAGCCAGGGGTCATTTTGTAGAAAAAGAGGTGCAGGAGCGCATTAGCATAACTTATTTGCATATGCCACACCCCCTAACATCACGGGAAGTGTATCAGAAGGCAACACCCACCGCTCAGGCTCCACTGGACTGTTTTGGATTGCTAGCTATTGGAGGGAGAGGGAACGTGCAGATCTGGCCTCGCAGAGGAGGGAGAGCTTGTACCTGAATAAAACTTGGTCTTAAAGGTGCCACCGGACTGTTTTAGGCTGGGGGGGGCTCTGCAGCTTACCTGGCTGCTTCTTGCTCTGACTGAGGGCTGCTGGGAGTAGGGGGCGGGGCTTGTTGCATGTGCCTGCCCCCTGGGCTCTTTACTGCCGGAGCTCCACTCCTGTGCACTCCTGCAGGAAATGACCCCTGGTCATAGCATAGGGTTGCCAAGTGATTCTTTGCCGGGAGCGGGGGGCTCCCGGCCGGCGTCAGGTTTTTCCCTTATATGGCCCCGCCCCCAGCGTGCCCAACGTGCCTGAGTCACTTCCAGGTGATGTGAATGCCGGGGCGGAGTTCCCCCCGGGGCCCGATTCCACGGCGGTGGAAATCGGGCCTCTGAAGCGGGGGTTTACCTGCCCCCACTTGGCAGCCCTATCATAGCACCCTTTTCCTTTTCAAGAAAGGAAGCCTCAGAAAATGGGGAATTAAAGTGGAGAAGGGGAGGGTATTTAACCCTTTCCCTATACATATGTTTTCTAGTCCAAATTGCCCACCCCAGGTGCTTCCCCATCCTCCAGGAGAGTTAAAACACATGTTTGTGAGGGGCTCTGACAATATAAATCTGAGAATACAGAAGATGGCCTGCCGTGTTCTAGATAATAATCTGAAAATGCATCATCTTTTTGATACCAGTCTAATCTGCCTGTGGACCTAGAGAACAGGGTTGGGCATGATAGAAGAGGATCCTACCTACTAAAAATTTTAGGGTGTTAATATCATAATCACATCATTTCCAACTCCTAAAGGAGGCTGGCAATGAATATTGTACATGTGTGCCTCTTCATTATGCATATGGAGAAGTAAAGGAAAGTAGATGAAGGCAAAGCACGGGAATTAGCCCTGGACCCATGGAAAATTGGATTGTGTTCCTTCAGAGAAAGAATGAGTGCAGGGACCTCCAGTGGACCAGGTCCTATGGGGCCTCCAGGTATGGAAGCTTTGAGGAGGCCTGTGCTGGATCATGAGAATTCACAGAACACAGCATGTAGTTTTTTTCTTCCCATTAGGGTGGGAGGGCTGAAAAATGAAATCTCCCACCTCTATTGTCCTTAATCTTTGGTACTCTAATTCCTAAGTACTAATGCTTTCACATTTAAATTATTTATATTTGCAGTAAAAAGTCTAGGGTTGGGGTTAGAATTTATTTCCTCCCACATTTTTAGTAACAAAAAGCAGACATAGAGTTTGTATTTTTTTTAGCAGTGGGTTGCAAAAGGGCTTTCCACCCTGGCCATTTTGTATTTTTTTAAATTGCCCTCGGTTGCTTTTCTCTCCATAGGGATATCTTACCTTTCCCCCTCATACCGTTTTCTTGTAGAAAAGCACCTTGGCGGTTTTGAGCAGAATAGTAGCCAGTTCATGTAGTCCCTGTGCTGTTAGGCCCCTCAGGACTGCAAAGTATTGTGGCTGGTTTTACTTTTGAAAAAGTAAAATATGCAAGAAAAGGCATGCTAGATATAGGGCGATTTCACACTAGAGCTGCCTCGTGGCGCAGCCGCCGTTTGCCCCGACACTATTTGTCAATTTCACACCCGAGGCTGCGGGGCTGCACTTGACCCGCAGCTTTGCCTGATTTCCTCCGCAGTTTCGTGATCCTCAAAAACCAGGATCACGAAACTGCGGAGGAAATCGGGCGAAGCCACGAGTCAAAATGCAGCCCCGCAGCTTCAGGTGTGAAATTGACATATTTGTGTCGGGGCAAACGGCAGCTGCGCTGCGAGGCAGCTCTAGTGCAAAATCGCCCATAGTTTAAACCCTATACTGATTCAGGCCAGGCTGTCCATTCTAGCCCACTTTGCTGCGTCGTAGTTCTGTGTAATATGGAATGGTCTGTGAAGTGGTCTCAAGCCTTTGGCAGAACTAACTCCCAGTCCTGCTGCCTGATATCTTTTAAGCATTTTATGGCATTTTTATTTAAAATTTAAATGGGATGTTAGATGTAGATTTTATCTGTAGTTGATGCATTCGTACTTGGGGATGAGTTTAATTGAAATCAGTGAGATGTTTCAGACTTAATATGCACAGGTCTGATGTAATTTCACACATGTTACAAATTCACTGTCACACAAATGTACTGATGTATTGAAAGCCTTGAACGGCTATAACGATTCCATCTGCTTCCTCAATTCCTTTTTTCTACTTCTTTGGCTAGGCAGTCCTTTCTTGTTGTTTTTTTGTCTCTTTGTCTGTCCCATCCAGTTGTTTAAATGTATATGGGTATATGCTGACCCAGCCTAGGAAACTGAGGGACTGACTATTCTTTTGTCTTTGTCTGGTAATGGCACATGAGAGGTTGATGATTATTCAGAACTAACAAACTGCTTTATTTCACTTTGGAGGGGAAATGTTCAGGCAGGTGTCAGGTTTAGGACTTAGACGGTGAACAGGCAACAGGGATGCATAAATATAAACAATAGATAAGTTTGTCACAGTAGCTGTGGTGTTATACTGACAGGTCTTTAAAACTGTGGAGAGAGTTCTCTTGGCAGTCACTGCTAAAATAAACAAGCATAAGCTTCTTTGTCTCAAGAATACTTAAGTTTGTGAAGGCAGGAACATTGACAAAAGTTCTGATTTCCCTTCTTAACCACTTGATAGGGATCACACTCCTTTACTAGGAGCTATTTCCTTCAGAGAAGTGTTACTCATCCCATGTCCCTAATTCAGGATCCTCCATGATCCTCTCACTTGCTTAACTCACCTTCACTGTTCTCACTCTGCTCACAACTGTCATTCTTAACTACCACTCTTAACAGATAATCTCAACTGTAGAATTCAGTTTGAATCCCCTGTCACTCAGGGTTCTCAGACTGGGTTAAAGCATTAACCCTTCATGGTCTGTTACAACTGCATATGAGAAATAATACCCTGCTTCAGAAATCACTGTTTTGTATAAGATGCAATGGTCTGCTTTGAATCCAGGATAGGTATCTATCCTGGATAGGAGGAGGAACTGGCTGGTTTGGAGGGTGGACTCTATGGCATTGTACCTGTCTGAGGTTCCACCCCTCCTCAAACCCCACTCTCTCCAGGCTCCACCCCTCAAATATCCAGGAATTTCCCAACCTGGAGGTGGCAACCCTATCTCCCTCCCAGCCAACCATCAGCCTACCTTTATCTGCCCCTCTGATTTCAGCTTTCCATCTCCTTCCCCTTTCCTTCTGGAGTGCAGTTGTAATTCTGAGTGATCTCCAGACCTCACCTGGAGATTAGCAACAATGATTCCCCAGGAGGAAATGGCTGGTTTGGAGGGTGGAGTCTATGACAATGTATGTGTCCTCCTCAAACCCCACCCTCTCCAGGCTCCACCCCTCAAGTCTCCAGGAATTTCCAAACCTGGAGTTGGCAACCCTATCTCCTTCCTAGCCAAGAATCAACCTGCTGTTATCTGTCCCTCACTCTTCAGCTTTCCGTCTCCTCAGCCCCCACCTGCAGCCTCTACCGTGCTCTGATGCCCTGACTGCTACGCCACATTGGCTGTCATAGGGAGGCCATCTCAGCAGGGTATAAGGACAGAGTCCACCATTTTCTCCAGGGGAACTGATCTCTGCCATCTGGAGAGCAGTTGTAATTCTGAGTGATCTCCAGCCCTCACTTGGAGATTGGCAACAATGGTTCCCCAGGAGGAAAAGTACAGTTTTTCTCTGCAATGGGGACCAAAGCAGCTTACATCATTCTCCTCTCCCCCTTTTGACTTGCACAACAACTCTGTTTTACTGACAGAACCAAGCTTGGTTGCCTAGTAACAGGCACTGAGGGGAAAGTAGTGTTGCCAGCTCTAAGTAGGGAAATACCTGGAGATTTGAGGGGGCAGATCCTGTGGAGGGCAGCATTTATGGAGGGGAAGGACTTAGCAGTGTATAATGCCATAGGGTCTACCTTCCAAAGCAGCCATTTTCTCCAGGGGAACTGATCTCTTTCATTTGGAGATCAATTGTAATAGCAGGAGATCTCCAGGTCCCACCTGGAGATTGGCAACCCTAGTAGAAAGTCAGCTGCACAGCAGGAGGTTGAAGAGAATGGTTTGACAGCTGCTGGCCCACCTCAGGTGAGAGCCATTTTCACAGTTTATTCTGAGAGGAAAGTGGCCAAGCTGGCAGTGGGCGAGGAAGGGGGTTATGAAGCCACTGAGGAAAAAATTAATTCCACAGAGGAGCCAAGCAAGAGAAGTGTCTTCGTTGGGAGAGACAGCCGTGGGTGGGGAAGAGGAGCAGACCCAGCCCCCAGCCAATGGCATGCGAATACTCTTGAGTGGTGGCTGATGGGCCAGTGGCTGATGGAGCGCATTGCACAGACAATGGGAGAGCTGGAAACGGCCAATACGCTAAGAGGATATTTAGTGATTATCAAAAGTAAACTATATTCTGAATTTTTCAATTAAATGACATCTTCCTCTATATCTCTCCCCTACAGACTAAAATACTTGGTGTTTTCTTCATTTCATCTCCAGAATTTCTGGCCAATGCTTACGTTTTGGCAGTCCTCCTCTTCTTTGCTCTTTTATTGCAAAGAACATTTCTCCAGGCTTCATACTATGTTGCCATTGAAACAGGAATTAACCTCAGAGGAGCAATACAGGTATTTCATATATACAATAAAAGGAAAATTCTTAGCTAAAGAACTGTGTGATCCATCTGTGTAGCGGCTATTTTGGTCAAAGGAAAACTGTAATATAATTTTTAAAAACACCCTTATCTTAAACAAATACAATAGGGTTATAAAAATAGCATTAACAATATGAATGTATGGACACTGTTTTTATTTCTACTTTTTAAAACAAAGCAGACTTGATATAATCACAGTCAAGTGCCATTCCATTGTTTTCAATGAAAATTAGTGACTAACTTTTGATGACTTGTGGCCCCTTTAAAAATTGTTTTTCATGACAATACAGTAGTGATTAAATGGCAGGTTAGAAAGTATTGTAGCTTTTATGGAAATAGCAGACCATATAACACAGAAACATGTTCTAACTGTCTTTGGGGGAATGTAAAGTACAGTAAATATCATTTCCCTGAATTAATGTTTTTGCCAAATAAATTGTTCCTCAAGATGACTTACTTCCATAATTACCATAATTGATTTTTACAGTTTATAAAAAAAAAACCCACTTTGCGATAAAGAAAATCAGTATTTGTAATGGTCTAGGACTAGGTTATGTTACTATCAGATTTATATGGTACTTGACTAAAACCTACTGTGTGTTATAGAAGAAGAAGAGGAAGAAGAGATTGGATTTATACCCCGCCCTTCACTTGGAGTCTCAGAGCGGCTTACAAACTCCTTTCCCTTCCCCTCCCCACAACAGACACCCTGTGAGGTGGGTGGGGCTGAGAGAACTCTGACACAAACTGCTCTTTCAGGAACAGCTGTGCCAGAGGTTGTGACTGACCCAAGGTCACATCAGCAGGTGCAAGTGGTGGAGTGGGGAATCAAACCCGGTTCTCCCAGATTAGAGTCTGCGCACTTAACCACTACCCCAAACTGGCTCTCTGAATTGATTAGAAAGGAATCATCCGTCCCTTCCTTACAGTGTCAGCAGAAGCTCACAAATCACATCTGTGATGAAATCTGCAAACACCAGGATTAATCTGGGTCTTGCAAATTATCATGCACATTATAAAAATGGAGAAAGCAGAATGATTACTCACTTTATTCTGAAACTGGTGTCAACCATTGATTTTTAAAACATAATAGTTGCCTAGAAGAGTCCCTCAGGTAGCTGCGGTGGCTCAAGTGGTTAAGACACTGAACTGCAGGCTGTGGAAGGTCAGTAGTTCAGCAGTTCGAGACCCGGGTGCCGCATGACGGAGTGAGCTCCCGTCTCTAGTTCCAGCTCCTGCCAACCTAGCAGTTCGAAAGAAAGAAATTGCAAGTAGATAAATAGGTACCACTTCAATGGGAAGGTAACAGCGTTCCGTGCGCCTCAGTGTTTAGTCATGCTGGCCACATGACCACGGAAACGTCTTCGGACAGCGCTGGCTCTTCGGCTTTGAAACGGAGATGAGCACCGCAACCCTAGAGTCGGATTCAACTGGCTTTCGAGCAAGGGAACCTTTACCTTTACCTAGAAGAGTCCCAGGGGCTAGTCCACAAAGGAGGAAGTGCAAGATAAATGTGTGAAAAGACTACATACCTAAATACTTGGTTCCTGCCTTTCCACTTTTCAGAAACCAGGGCATCAGACAAGTAATGCAACTAACAATTAATAAGAAAATGAAAAAAATACATAGTCAAAAATAGCCAGTACAATGCAATTTAAAATACAGCATCTTCCTCAAATGAAGGCTCTTTCTTTCAAAGGGCAGATTATATGGTCAGATATTGTGTATTTTGTTTATTTAATTTATAGCTTTATTGACTCATCACTCAGCTTCTGTAGGAATGCAGGAGAGGCACGTAAAAACCTAACATTTGCATTTATGCATATATGAAATTAATTCTATCGAATGTTAACTTAGATTTCCCCCAAAAAAAGATATCACTTTTTCTTCCTTCATCAAAGGTTAGATTGAGTGTTAAGCAAGCTGCCTCCCAAGAAATGACTTTCTTTTTAAAACAAATCACTATTGTTCAAAAACATGAGACAACAAAAAGTTAGCTTCAAGATTATTTTCCATATTTTAAATAACATTTCATGTTCCCATTTTAGACAAAAATTTACAATAAGATTATGCTGCTTTCAACTTCCAATATGTCCATGGGGGAAATGACTGCAGGTCAGATCTGTAACCTGGTTGCAATAGATACAAATCAACTGATGTGGTTTTTCTTCCTTTGCCCTAATCTTTGGGCTATGCCAGTACAGGTAAGGAAACGGAAAGTAATATGCTATTAATGAGCTTGCGTATGATACTAGATAGATTTGAATTGCATTTAGATGAATATTTTTACAGTATATAAAAAGTGTTTTTTCACTATCTCAGCAGCCTTGCCACAGGACCACATGAGAAATAACAGATATGCAGTTGCTGCTCATTTGTTATGAGGCATGTAACAGTCCTTAAGGTAGAACTTCTTTTAAAGAGCAGAAAAATAACTGGGACAGGTGGCATAACTCCACTTGGCTATTCTCTGTCATATTGTAGGAATAACAGCATTGCTCAGACTGCAAAGAGGGGTTTTCTGTGTACAAGAAAAATTATACACCCTTGTGCACTACCATGTGTAAAAAGTGTGTATTCATATCTGTTTTGTCACCATAACATACACACAGCCTCATGCAATGTTGAAAGACTGAATCCATTTTTTCCTATACAAAAGTTAAATCTATTAGGGGGAAATGTTATTATGAAATTATCTGTAGTCCTACTAATGAATGGGTATGGGTTTAAGAACGTATATCTGGACACATTAATTCTCAAATGGCAAAGCTCAGGTGCTAATGTCCACTACTGCCAATCTAACTCTTTGTTCTGTAGTATATTAGCATCACAGCACAAAATGAACGGTTATAAGAGAGTTGTCATAGGCTGACTCTACTGCACATTGGCCAAAGGCAAGGAAACAACCATATTCTTACCAACAGGAGGCCAATGTGGCAGTAGAAGCAAAGGTCTCTTATGTTCTTATGTTCTTAAAACTGGGCTAAAAGAATTTTTATGAATTTCAATGGGGATAAAGTTCTGCATTTAGGTAGGAAAAATCAAATGCATAATTATAGGTTGGGGGAGACTTGTCTTGGCAGTAATATGTGCGAAAAGGATCTAGGGGTCTTAGTAGACCATACACTGAACATGAGTCAGCAGTGTGATGTGGTTGCTAAAAAGGCAAATGTGATTTTGGGCTGTATCATAAGAACAAGAACATGGTTGCACTTCCGCTGAAGGAGCAGGTTCATAGCTTGGGGCTGCTGCTGGATCCTGGCCTTCATCTAGAGGCCCATGTCTCCTCAGTGGCACATACTGCCTTTTATCAGCATCTAATACTCCAGCTATGGCTATTCCTCGAAAACCATAATCTGACCATGACAATCCATGCTTCAGGTTAGATTTCTGGTATGCAATGTCCCCCCCCCCCGGGGGGGGATCCTCTCCCCTATGCTATTTAACATCTACATGCGCCCCCTGGTCCAGATGGTCTGAAGGTTTGGGCTGGGTTGTCACCAGTATGCTGATGGCACCCAGCTGTATCTGATGACGGCTGGCTGGCCGGATACCACCACAGATATTCTGGCTGAGGGTCTGAATGCCATGGCTGCATGGTTAAAGCAGTCGATTGAAACGGAATCCAATGAAGACAGAGGTCCTGTACCTGGGCCACGGGACAATTGGGTCGGGGATTCAGCTCCGAACTCTGAACGGGGCATCACTGACACCTGCTCCTGCGATAGAGCTTGGGTGTGATTTTGGATGCCTCACTTTCAGTGGAAGCCCAGGTCACGGCAGTTGCGAGATCTGCATTTTTCCATCCACAGAAGGTTAAGCAACTGGTCCTCTACCTTCCTTCCTGTGACCTAACTACAGTGATCCATGCAACGGTCACCTCCAGGCTGGATTACCGTAACACACTTTATGCAGGGTTACCCCTGAGACCAATCCAGAAACTGCAGCTGACCCAAAATGCAGTGGCACGTGTCTTTACAGGCAGGGCTCTTTTTGTAGCAGGTACTCATTTGCATATTAAGTGACACACTCCTGTAAGAAGAGCTCTGTAAGCTCTTGGAGGATTGGCTACATTAGGGGTGTGTGGCCTAATATGCAAAGTTCCTGCTACAAAAAGAGCCCACTGAGAGCACACATACACCCAGTGCTGCGCCCAGCTGCATTGGCTCCCAGTTGAATTCCGGATCAAGTTCAGGGTTCTGGTTCTTACATTCAAAGCCCCATGTGGACTGGGGCCAACATATCTGCAGGACTGTCTCTCCCAATACAACCCCCAAAGGGCCTTGTGCTCTTCCAATCAACACCTACTGGTTATCCCCGGCCCCAAAGATGTCTGCCTAGCCTTGACCAGAGCCAGAGCCTTTTCAGCACCGGCCTGGTGGAATGCTCTCCCTAGTGAGGTCCGGGCCCTGTGGGATCTTATGCAGTTCCGCAGAGCCTGTAAAATGGAGATGTTCCACCTAGCCTATGGTCAAGGCAGCGACAAACCATCTATAATGGCCTCCCCTGCTCTGCTTTGCCTTGCTTAGCTTTGATTAGCAGCGTCCGTAGTCCACCATAGCTGCTCTCTTCACCCATCCACTACTTGTCTTGTCTCAGTCTGCAGTGATATATAGTCTGGAAGTCCATCCAATTCATTAAATTGGTCAGCTGGCACCTCTTAAGGGTTTTATGTGTTAATACTATATTGTGGCCCTGGTCACACGGGCTGGATATAGTGGGGGGGAGGCGTGACTGTTTGCCCCGGAGCGAACTACCGCGCGGCAGCCGGATCAAACATCCCGCCCGACGTCCCGTGGTTGGGGGGAGGTGCCGATCATACCTCACTCCTGCGGCGCGGCAAAGAAGCAGCGCCGCGGGGGTTGTGTTGTTTTTTAAACCCACGTGTTCGCATGCGCCGTTGGGTGCTTGTGCGCACCCATGGAGACTTGACCCAAAAAAAGGTTTTGCGACGGGACATGGGCGGGCGCCGGATGCCACGAGCTAACACCAGAAACTTGCTCCGCGGTTTCCGGAAACTAGTACCTCGGAGGTACTAGTTTTTTACATCGCATCTTCGGAGTGAAGCCTCAGGTGAGCCACGGGAGCTCTACGCTTCCCAGATGTGGCGGTGAGATCACGCCCGGAAAATCTGCCTATCTTCCGTGTCTCTAGTGTGCCTAATGCTCCATGTGACCGGGGCCTGTGATTGTTTTTATGAACTATATTCTATTTTAAATGTTTGTATGTTTAAGAATGTTGTAACCTCTCCCTGAGCCTGCTGTGCAGGGGAGGGAGGGCTAAAAGTCCAACAAAATCAATCATTCACTTACTGTAATGTGTTCTGCATGGGGTTGCCTTTTTAAGTGGACCAGAAACGTCAGCTCATCCACAATGCAACAGCCAGGCTCTTGTTAGTAGTGGGATATGGGGATCATGTCACCTGAGTGCTGAAAGATCAGCTTTGTCTGTTTCCAGGCACAAATCAAAATGCCATTTTTTGTGTTTGTTTGTTTTTTGCCTTTAAAGCTCTATATGGCTTGTTGCTAGGGTACCTGAAGGATGACCTCCCGTTATTGCCTAGCCAGTTAAAATCCTCCTCACAAGCCATGCTCTGTTCTCTGCTTTTGGAGGTGAGGTGGGTGGTGACCAGAGATGGTATTTTTTCAAGGTTCCATCTTGATGCCAACCTAGGACCTATACTACTTTCTTTGAGATACCAGGCCAAGATATTTCTGTTTACCCAAGCTAAAAGTGACTTTAAAAAAAAAAATCACGTTATAGTCTGTTTTTAGCCTGAAAGAAGTTTAAGACCATTTTAAGCTGCTCCATGTTTTATACTATTTTATGCTCCATTGTGGTTTGAAGACAGGGTTTCAATAACTTTTATTATATTTTATGTGTTCATTATGTTTTGTTTTGTAAGCCACCTTAGGCAGGTTCATTGGCAAGGCAACATAGACATTTCATCAATCAATAAATAAGCTTTTTTTCCTGCAATGGCTCCTCTTGTGAAAATTAGCACCCAAGTTATCATCAGCATACCCATGTAGTAGGCAAAAGACCAGAAACCTATGAATATAATCATGAAAAATTTATAAAAATAGTATGTGAACCCTTAACAAATGTTATGAATGAAAAACATTATACTAAATGTCTCTGGTGCCAGTCCAATATTTGAAGACATCTCAAAGTCCTAACAAATTCCTATCTGAAGCGGTCCTTCCCAGTGAAGCAATAAAGTCCAATGTTGATGGAGCCAAAGCGATCCTGTTAATGGGGCACCAGTAAAAACCCTGTTTCCACAGTGTCTTCTTCAGGAACAGGTACCACAACCGAACACAATCTACAACACAAATACAGGCCCCCAGTATGCAACAATACAAGATATAAAATGCATACATCCATTAGGAAACACCCATAATACATTCAGTCTTCCTACTTCTTATTGATAAAGCACTACTGATAAAGCAGCTCCCAAATTTTCAAAGAATGCTATGTTCTAAGCCAAAAATCGCTAGTTAAAATATCCTCAGTGATTTACCATCATCTAATTGCTAACAGGTGGACTGTAAGAGACTCCTAACACATTCATAACACATATGAACATTCATTCATGACATTTCTAAGGATTCACATACTATTTTTTTAAATTTTTCATTATTATATTCACGGGTTTCTGGTCTTTTGTTAATTTCCTCCATACCGCGAATCTGCGTTTTTTGCTTTGTGTAGTAGGCAAGCCATTTACTTTATAATTTCCAAGCACTGTCAGTTATGAAAATAATAAACTAGCATTTACAGGACTTGAATCATCTAGAAGCATTGATTTAAAGGGTTTTAGAGCCTTGTGTTGCAATGTGGGGTATTCATATCCTGACTTTTATGGCCATGTATCATAGTCTTCTATGACAACAATTATAAAATAGAATGAAGAGATATGAGATCCAGAAGTAAACAAAGAGCAATTGTCCATGAGTAGAAGCTTACTGCAGATGTATACTTATGGAGGTGGGATCAGTGGACATGATCCCTCTCTCCTCTATACAAAAAAGTGCACTTATTTACTTTTGTGCTATTTACTTGCAAGTTTATTTGCAATTTGAAATACCCGAACAGGGTTGTTGCGGGTCCACTCTTGTTTATTTTATAATTTCCAAGTACTGTCAGTTATGAAAATAATAATCCAGCATTTACAGGACTTGAATCATCTAGAAGCATTGATTTAAAGAGTTTTAGAGCTTTGTGTTGCAATGTGGGGTATTCATATCCTGACTTTTATGGCCATGTATCATAGTCTTTGTCCCGGTTCTGACGAGCCGGGCCATTCTAACACCACCCCACCCGAACAACCTGCCACGAACCCCGAGCTTACCCTGCCTAAAGCATCCAAACTGGGTGAAGAGGCCGAGTTACCGGAGGCAGGAGACAGCAAGGCAAAGGGGTGCCGGGCCACGGCGCAACCCCTTTCCCATAGGGCGCATCATCAGGTGCACGGCCGGAGAGCAGGCCCTGAGACGCCGGTGCTGCCGGAACCGCCCCATCCAAATGATGTTGGGCCTTCCGGGCAACGAGCTGCAACCCCCCCTCCTGCTTCAGGCGTGGTCAAACCAGCACGCCCGGGCAGAGCGTCTCCCCTTTTATAGGGAGGCGGGACTACCCAAGATGGACACCTCACGTGTCCAGTGAGAGGGAAGAGAGGGAGGGATCAGGTATAAAAGGGGAGCGTGAAAGGGAGACCGGGGAGGAAGGAAACTGGAGAGTGAAGGAGGGGGTCGGGGCCGAGACGTCGGAGGGAGAGACGACGCTGCGACCATCCCCCCTAACTCTCACAGGGGCGCGTCAGTTATGAAAATAATAAACTAGCATTTACAGGACTTGAATCATCTAGAAGCATTGATTTAAAGGGTTTTAGAGCCTTGTGTTGCAATGTGGGGTATTCATATCCTGACTTTTATGGCCATGTATCATAGTCTTCTATGACAACAATTATAAAATAGAATGAAGAGATATGAGATCCAGAAGTAAACAAAGAGCAATTGTCCATGAGTAGAAGCTTACTGCAGATGTATACTTATGGAGGTGGGATCAGTGGACATGATCCCTCTCTCCTCTATACAAAAAAGTGCACTTATATTTACTTTTGTGCTATTTACTTGCAAGTTTATTTGCAATTTGAAATACCCGAACAGGGCTATTATATCGAGAAGAAGGTTGTGGATTTGTTTGTGGGACTGTCATATAATCAGCAGGACCTAATGGTCTTTGTCTCCTGATGATTCTTTACTCTAAAATGAGTAGCAAAAATAATGTCCCTTTGGTTTCTGTTATGTTATGTCAGATCGTTGTAGGAGTCATTCTACTCTACTACCTACTTGGATTCAGTGCCTTAATTGGAGCTGTAGTAATCATCGTGCTTGTACCTGTTCAGTATTTTGTAGCCACAAAGCTTTCACAAGCCCAAAGAAGTACATTGGTGAGTATTTTCAGACATATTGTCCAATAAGCTTTTTCATTTGTTTGGTGATATATCTATATGCTACTTTTTGGCAGGAGGCTCCCAAAGTGTCTTAAAAAGACAGAAGCCCATTTCAGTTCATTCAAATATCAGTCAGTTTATTTCTACAGTCCTTGGACCAGTCATACGAAAAGAAGTACACTGGTCCTTTGCAATATTCCAAGATTTTAAAATACATCCGTACAACATTAAAAACAGATTAAAATTTAGTCTAATATCAGACCGCCACATCTAACTAACTGCCACATCTAACTAACTATCAGATCACAATTAAACCTAACAAATAAAAATGTTAACATGATCTGCAGCAAATAGAAACAGCCAGGGGTCATTTCGTAGAAAAAGAGGTGCAGGAGCTCATTAGCATAACTCATTTGCATAACTTATTTGCATGTGCCACACCCCCTGACATCACCGGAAGTGTGTCAAAAGGCAACACCCACCGCGCAGGCTCCACTTGGATTGCTAACTATTGGGGGGGGGGGAAATGTGTAGATCTGTCCTCGCAGAGGAGGGAGACCTTGTACCTGAATAAGACTTGACCTTAAAGGTGCCACTGGACTGTTTTGGACTAGGGAGCCGGGGGGAACTCTGGAACTCACCTGGCTGCTTCTTGCTCTGACTGAGGGCTGCTGGAAGCAGGGGGTGGGCCTTGTTGCATGTGCCCACCCCCTGGGCTCTTTACTGCCGGAGCTCCGCTCCTGTGCGCTCCTGCAGGAAATGACCCCTGGAAACAGCAGTGTCTAACAAACTAGCCACAGATAGCCCATAATGCCAATAAAATCCGCAACAGAATCAGCCGAAGCTAGAGAACAAAAAAAGAAGATGAAGAAGAGTTGAATTTATACCCCGCCCTTTACTCAGAGTCTCACAGCAGCTTCCAGTCTCCTTCCCTTCCTCTCCCCACAACAGACATCCTGTGAGGTAGGTGGGGCTGAGAGAGCTCTGAGAGAACCGTGACTGACCCAAGGTTGCCCAGCTGGCTGCACGTGGAGGAGTGGTGAACCAAACCCAGTTCTCCAGGTTAGATTCCACCACTACACCAAACTGGCTACACCAAACTACAGCAAAAGAACCCTAAATGGAGAAAATGGCAGTACAGCTGTGGACTGGCATGCTGGTTTCATTACTCATTATGAGTGTACTATTTCTCTCTCACCTACAGTCAGGCAGAGTGAGTCAAGTTGGCTGGAACAGGGCTACCCAGCTTTGTGTGGAAACTGCTCCACTTGGTGCATCTTAAACCATCCCTGGTAACATGAAGGGGAACATCTGCATCCTGCTTGTCTTTGCACTGTCTGAGCAGGCCTTGCTTCCCAGCATTATCACACACTGGTCGGACAAGAGGCAAGATAACGGCTTTAGGCATCAATAGTAGGCAAGAAGATAGTGTGTTTGACATCAGGGAGGAGATGGGTAGGCTGTTGAACGCGTAAGGATTCTTCTCTTCAGTTCACTGCTTTACTTGATAATTATGGCCAGTCTATTAATTTCAGGGCTCTTTTTGTAGAAAAAAACCAGCAGGAACTCATTAGCATAATAGGCCACACCCACAGCAGAAACTCATTAGCATATTAGGCCACACCCCTGACAGCACAGCTCATTGTCATATTAGGCCACACCCCCATGTTACCAGAAGTGTGCTCCTCCAGCCACACCCACCTTTTGCTTCTTATTCTGTTGACCTTGTTTGTTGTCAAAACCCAGGGCCTTTTTTTGTAGCAGGAACTCCTTTGCATGTTAGGCCACACACCCCTAATGTAGCCAATCCTAATGAGTTTCTGCTGTTGTGTGTGGCCTATTATACTAATGAGTTCCTGCTGGGCGTGGCCAACTCGAGAGCCAGCCAGAACTCCATTCCTGTGTGTTCCTGCCCAAAAATAGCCCTGAAAACTGTATACCACCCAGTTTTGAAGGAGTTCAGATTCTGGTAACACTGCTCTTGCTTCCCTTTATTCTCACAATAACACGGTATGCTCACAGTATGTGTTATAATGGAAATACATATCTGGCCCAGGGTCAACCAGTGAGCTCCTTGGAAGTGAGAGTATTTAGACCCCTATTCTGACACTCTAATTACTGCATACACCTGGGCTCTTATTGGGAGGTCATGTTTGGGGGCTATTATTTTGATGTGCCTCAGGCTGTCTGATTTAATAAAACTCACAGCAAAAACTACAGTCATTTGATTAAGTTTGTAGCTAGGCAACCAGAATTTGCTGGGTGCAAGGGAGTTATTCCAAGGAGCTTGTT